AAAAAAAAACCCATCGCAGTGAAAAAATGATAGCCTTCAGTAATGATAATGAGAGATGTGTAAAGAGCAAACAATTAACTGATAACATAGGTACCTGAATAGCGAACAAATCATACAAATAAATGGCAAGAAATGTTCTGTAGGGTGAATGGAAGCTGGACAAGCTGTAAATTATTACCTTTATCGGAATCCTGATCGTCAATTGTCTGCGACGATTCGGACGACTCTTTTATAGTACTCGGTGGCGCTTCTTTCTTGTTCAGCAAATTACGACCTATAATATCCGAGGTTAATGCAAAAACAGTAACTGCCCATCAATATCCATAAATAGGTGATTGAATCAACTACCTAGCACACTCGTTTTCTGAATACATACCTTTTCAGCTTTTGGTTCAGGAATTTTAATCCAGGAAAAGACTTCCATTTTGGGGAATCAATGGCTTAAAGCCTAAACAGCTTAAGCAGCATTCTAAATTGTTCCCGCTTTCTGCCAGCAAAATAAACTCCGTGCTAACTTACACGTGCTGCTATGAATAAATATGTAAGTAAGCGAAAACAACAATTTTAATCTCCAACGTCTTTACATTTCTTCACACAAATTAAGTTGCCGCTACAAGCAGAGTGTAACCGGCCGTAGCTTCTGTTACACAATGAAATGTTCAAGATATGTTCTGGGGAGTCGAAAAACATTTTTAAGCAGCTTTCCTTTGTAAGCATGCTGACAGAAAATATCATATTTTTCGATAAAAGTTTGATTATTACTGCCGGAACTTAAAAACTCTGTGGAAGAATGGGATCTCCATAAAAAATGGGATGAATGGGATCTTCAAATATAAATTAATTTGCAGAAAACCAAAGTTTTAATGCGCAATCGACGAAAACTGAAAGATACGGCTGGAGAAGGAGGATTTTGTATTGGTTCTAATTCTGGTGTATATGCTGAACCTCCTTTTTTTTTAACACTTCGGTTACCATGCTTTTCAAAATGAGAAAAGCATGCGAATCCAAAAGGCAAGACAAAGAGAAGCTGAGGGAGGTGCCAGTTCTATTTTGCATGCCTGTAGAAAATGCATCAAAGAAAACGAACAAGCACATTTCTAACGACAGAAATAAATGAAATGGTCAACGGAATCTAGGGTACGTTCCGGAATTAGCTCACTATGAATGCGCCACTGAATTAGCAGAAATACGCCACCCTTCTATGCAATCTATCAGTTTATCTCGAAAAGCTGAAAAGGACGGAAGTATAAATGGAAAAAAAGTGGTAGAAATGGCTTTTAAAAAGTTCCTCCCCAAACTGTGCATTAGCGGACACATTTGGAAAAAAACGAAATAAAATTGCACAAACAAAGAAACACACATTAAACCAAAATTTCCAAATTATCCACACTTTACTCGCCAAGGGCATTGTTTCATACAGCCCAAAAACCGAAGAATTTACCAACAGGACTGCGAGCAGATAACGGCTTTGCAAGAATGCTTAAGATATAAAGTTTAGTGATTTGCGCTTCAAGCACATCATTATCACTTTTAGCATCAATACAAGAATTTATTCCCTGCCCCTGTCTCCCAGTAAATTGAGTTGCCATCGAAGTACACTTCACTGCCTCTGTTTTGGTAACAGGCGCAGCGCACTGCTAATATATCGTTTTTCAAGCTTACACCTAAAAGACAGAAAAGTAGACGAGTAATCTGATACTTTTCTACTGCAAAAGCGGACACAAATTTCTATATTTAGCTACGTTTTCCTTCACTCCGCATTCACATCCCCAGCTTTTGTCCCCATTTGGTCCGCAATTTTCTATAAGACAGAAACGGATTAAAAGCACTTACCAAAAGAGGTGTTGATAACAATGACGGGTGGATGAGTAAATTCAAAGCACGAAGATTTCCTGGGAGCAGAAAAAAAGTACTCGCCATTGCTACTGCTGATAACATCACTATATTGTGTTTTAAGCTGATTTTTACTAGCAGTGATTTTTGTGTCCGCGACAGCAGCACAGCCAGTCCCTGTTGTTAAAGTACCGCAGCTAGAATTGCCAGATTTCGCAGTGCTGGAGTTCAGTGCGGCGCATTTGGCAGCGCTTGAGCCAAGAGCAGCGCATTTTCGTGCTGCCAGGTGGCAAACGGCTATGGATGCGAACGCAAGTAGCAGCAGCGGCCAGAGCTGTGACAGATGCTCCGCAACCGCCAAAGTGATGTAGAAGACCATTTATCTCGTAGTCCAGGGCAGCAGCATCAGCAACAAACACTGCTTGGCCACAGCTGCCCGAATAATCTCGTTCCTCACGATAAACCAAACTTTAATATCTCAACTTTACGGCTCTTCCTCCGCAAACTCATCAGCTCTGCAAGATTGAAAAAGCACCACTGGATGTTGTCCTCCCTGCTCTCGTGCCGCATTCTCGCCTATTACCTCTTCGCTGCTTTCGATTTGAATCATTCCTCAAATCGATCCATCCATTTTCACTTGCAATAAAACTCGTCCACTCTTCAGGATGAGTTCCGCTACAAAGCGCTCAATTCAGCGTCGACGGTCACTTGCATTAGCTGAACTGTGTGACATCGTTTTCGAATAGTACTCATATAACAGCGAAAAAGAAACAGCTTGCGAAAAAAAGCTGCAGTGAATAAAATTGGCAGTATCTGGCGAAAAGTAGCAGTTTTGCAGCATCCACTATTACTGCTAAATCATCAGTAGACAAATGAGCGACAGCAAACTTTCAAAAAATCGGGCAGGTTTCTACAAAATGCGCTTTTGGGGAACAGCTTCGCACTGGAGAGCTAAGAGATTATGGAAAATGCAAGACTGAGAGGTGCAAGCGCTTATGAAAAATACAGTCGTT